CCCCCCCCCCCCCCTTTTTTTTTTTAACTCGTTTCATCCGTAGATTTACCTTTGATATCTTACCATGATTAATTATCTGGGAAAACGTATTGGGCATTATTAAAAGAATGTCAATTAATAATTGTTTTTAAAAATTAGTAGAAATAGAATCCAACAAATAGATTCTCTAATAGACTTGTTCTCGTTATGCCACTTGGCTTAACCTCATGCTTCACTACCTTCCTTTTAATATAATATAGATAATTATCTCTTTCATCAAATACACAGACACCTAAAATTGTCTTGAATTTTCACCTAGACACTTCAACAAAAGGTGTTTCCTATTGAACACTTAATTTATGTTCAAATTCTTTCAATTAGACACATGATGCTGATGTGGTACAGTATGTGCCCCACACCCATTTTATGAGCGGGAGACTAAAAAATTCTTCTTCTTTTTTAAATAGACAAAATGACCTCTTGGCCACTTAAATTTGCACCCAATTACCAACCCGGTAACAAAACTTACAATTTTCACATTTGAACACCTCAACTTGACGGAATAAATACTAAAAATACATCCAACCGCGCATGTATATCAATTGCGTTGACATGTCAAACACGTCATATGCTAGACCATTTACTGATTGACATGTGTTATTTGTGGGTCTCACTTTTAAAATTAATTTATCAAAATTTTATTTTATTTTTTTTACTTTCTTCTCCACTCAAACACATCCCCCCTCCCCCCTCCCCCCAAACCAGTAAAAGAAGATATTGCTGGAAAAGCCTCCGACCAAACCCCAAATCCAAGAAATTAGTCAGCTTCCTTCATCCCTTTTTTATTTCTCTTCTTATTTCTGTTAAATTCAATTAGGGATAGAATTTTTGAGTTTTGACTGCCAGAAAACTCCAATGGCCGCCACCTTCAGTTCGCTGACGACCAACCACATGGACCACCACAAAACTACACCAGAATGCTCTCCCACTCTGAAGCCATCGTTGATTTGCTTTTCGAATTCCAAAATTAATTTTTTCTTTGTTTTTCCCTATTTTGAAAATTGGCATGCAAGTTTTGGATTCTTAATTTCCCTCTCAACTATATTCTTAACTTTCAGTGGAAGAATATCTTGAGAGAAAATTGAAGGGTGCTTAGTGACAGTAAAACTATTGGGGTTGATTTGGAAGTAAGAGGAAGAAAATGGATGTACTGGTTTAGGGGTTGGAGGACAATGGTCGAGGAAGAAGGGGGAAAGGGTGTACAGGTAAAGAAAGCGATGGGATGGGGGCATTTCTTTCTTTCTTTCTTTTTCATTTATTATTTTTTCCTCATTGTAAAAATTTTTTAATCAAAAATTACTATACTCACGCACGCTCACATATGTACGAGTTTAGGTGTTCAAATAGAAAAGTTGTAAGTTACTTTACCGGGACGATAATCCGGTGCAAGTTTAAGTGACCCGGAGGTCGTTAAATATATTTTTTCTTTCTCTTTCTCTCCCCTACCCTTCCTCTTCCTCCTCTGTTAGGATATTAGATAAAAGGCTGACTATTTGAGCTATTTGTGTAACTTAGGTCCACGTTTGTATTAAGTCCATAATTTTGCATTAGTTGGTCCACCGGGTCAGGCCCACTATTTTTATTAGAGACTCTTATTTTATTGGACAGACTTTACACTTCTCAGATAGAGAAAAAATTAGATTCTCTCGAACCTTCTCTCAAACCCATGAACCTTACTTTACATTTTATCAATTTTTCTGTAAATCTCAATTTTTAATTTGGTATCAGAGCGTAGATTCTGGTAGATCGTCTCATTATCTTTCGATCGATGTTACCCTCTTTAGTTTTCGTCGAGCTTTTCGTTTGGACTGCGTTCACATTGGATTAGGGTTTTCTTTGGGTGATTCCTCTTGATTATCGTCTGTTTCTGCTGGTTTTCACTACTTCTCTCAATTGTTTAATGTACCTGGGTCGATTTGCTCATTTGCTTCGAGCTAGGTTTTTCTCGTCGGTGTTCGCTGCGTCGCCGGAACTTTGTTCTCAAGGCTGTTCTCTTTTCGGTTGCAAAAGAGGAAAGTAAACCAGTTCTATTTTCATATTTCATCAATTTGTTTTGCTGAATTGCTTATTGTTCCTTGTTGCTATATTTTCTCTCAATGACGAATGATAATCCTGTAATTACACCTTCTTCTTCTTCTGCTACATCTCGTACTGTATTTTATGAAGATGATTTTACACATTCATGTCATCCATTATATGTACATCCGTCAGATGTGCTGGGAACCTCTTTGGTCTCTAGTCCATTTGATGGAAGTTGCTATGGTAGCTGGAGGAGAAACATCTTGGTTACTCTCTCTATTCATAACAAGCTTGATTTTATCAATGGCACCTCTACTAGGCCTCTTCCAGGATCTCTTCTGGTACACCAGTGACAACGGTGTAATGATCTTGTGGTCTCATGGTTGATTAATTTCCTATCAAAAGAAATATCTCGTAGTGTAGAATATTCTGAATATGCTAAAGATATTTAGTGTTAATTGGAGGAGAGGTATGGTAAGGCTGATGGGGCAAGATTTTTTGAACTAAAGATAGAATTAGCATATATCTCTCAAGGGTCTTTAGACATAGCTTCTTATTTTAATAAAATCAAACAACTCTGGGCTGAAATAGCTTCTTATAAGGTCAGGGTTTGCACTGTGTGGGGGTAAGGCTGCTGAGGATGAAGAGCAGAAGGTTTATCAGTTCCTTATGGGCCTGAATGATACCTACTTGCAAAATTACAGCAACAGTTTAATGATGAAACCACTTCCATCTGTTGGGAATGTGTACAACATCTTATTGTCTGATGGGAAGCAGAGGTAGGTGTCTTCTGCCTCCCAATTTTCCACACTCTGCTTCATTCAATGTTGGGACTTCTAAGCCATCATTTCCTTCCAAGGTTTCCTTTGAGGCTCCCAGGTCTTCTGTCATATGCAAATATTGCAAGAAACCTGGGCATCCTAAAGATAAATGCTATAAATTGCATGGATATCCTCCCAATTTAACAAAGGACCTTAACAAAGGGCCCCCCCCCCCCAAACAGAACTGATGCATATGTTGAGCTTGAATCCTCTGGTGGCTCTTCTGTGCCTGATCGTTCTGATGGTCCTGTTGAGAATGAATAGTCCTCTGTCATACCTTACCTTACCAAGGATCAATACTCTCAACTGATGATCTTCTTACAACAATCCCATATCTCTTCTTCCCCACATTCTCCACCTCTCCTGGCTTCTGTTAACTTTGCTGGTAAGCTCATGCCTTATGAGGGTGTTTCTTATGGAGCTTGTATGTTGTCTAGTGTGAATGACATTGTTTGGATAATAGATTCTGGAGATACTGATCACATGACTTCTATTAGGAGTTTACTCTTTGATATAATCACTCTTCCTATTCCTTACCTTGTGTCTCTTCCAAATGGGTATAAAGTGAAGGTTACCAATGTTGGCTCTTTAGCCTTATTTCCTGATTTAATCCTTCATAATGTTCTTTACATCCTTAGTTTTAAACATTATCTCGTATCTGTCCACAAGCTTTTGTCTCATTGTGATGATATTGTACAGTTTACCAAGTCTGCTTGCACTTTCCAGGGCTCTTCAGTGAAGAAGCCGGTGGTACTTGGTAGACTGGACAATGGACTTTACAAGCCGTTCCACCATGCTACTTCTCTTGTTGAATCTGTTGATGTCAATTCTTGTTCTTCTGTTGCTTCACTACAATAAATTTGGCCTAAGGCCACACTTACTTTGGGCAACGCTTGAAAAGTGTTATCAAAGGTATCTATAGAAATATTTTTAAAGGGTGACCTTTGTTGATAGCTTTTGGCTACGGTTTTTAAGCCACTCTTAATAAGCGTTCTTTTTAAGTGATAAGGCAACGCAATTTAAGCGTTGCCAAATCACAAAGTAATTGACAACGCTTATTCATTCATGTGGCAACGCTTTCAGAGTGTGCTAAGCTTATATTCTAAAAGCAACACTTTCCAAGTGTGCTCTAAAATAACCCAAAAAAATATTTTCCTCCCCCCACAAAATTCCCCCCTTTATTGCTTTTAGTGAAATATTCAAATATTTTCCCCATTTTGAAAAAGCAAATCAGGTGCTATGACCATCCTTTCGAAATCGTTCGTTAAGTTTGTCTCTTCGACTCTTCGAAACCTCCGCCAATTTTTGAAATCTCCATCGACACCACCTTTGTGAGTTTCTTCAGGCTTCTAGAAGTTTTACCTCCACAAGGGATACAGGGCCACTCAAGTTCAAGGAACCGATCCTTCACGCACTTTCGCAGAGGTAATCGATACTGATAAACCCTATAAGCTTTCCTTCTTTTGGGAATTCAACCTTTCTGGTTTCTCACTCATCAGAAAGTTTTTTTTGGTTCTTGTTTTGTTTGCTCTTATTTTGGTTGTTTAAGGAATAATAAGGCATCAGGTAATACGACATTATTTTTAGGTCTTATTAGTTTTCTGGGTCTTGTATGTTCATTCTTATATCGGTAGTGAAATATTAGATCATTTTATTCTTTGTTGCTATATAACTTTATTGTTGAATTCCTATTTCATTTTATTTATTAATTTTTGAGTGTTTCAAGTGCTATTGGATAAGAAGGGGTGACTTACCAACTATCTAATGAACTTTCTCTTCGCCATGCCTTTTTATTCTTGGTTGAAGAAGCTGGACACAAATTAAAAATAGTTCTTCACTTTGTAGTTTATTAATCTCCTTTCTTATTAAGGATAAAATAATACCATCTAAAGTTTGAAAATGAGGAGTCCAATTTGGTAAAGTTATTATTATTATTATTTTTTTGAAATTTTGGTAATTAATGTGAAGTTTTATAACATCTTGGCCAAGTTTGAAAAGAAAGAGGCAAGTTGGTGAAGATCTCTTGATGTCCATGAACTTCAAAAAAGATGCTATGAAGAAAAGAATTATGCAAGTTGGTAAAGATCTTATCTGCATTTTGTTTGGTACGAGTTTTGAATGTTCATAATGTCACATATACATACACCATATTGATCTTTATTTCACACTTGACTGATTGGTTGTAATTTGGGTAGAGTGACATCAGATGTGCTTGCTTTTGCTTACTATTTTTCGGCCTGCTAAAATATTTTCATTGACCAAGAGGTCAACCAGGCATTTATAGCTGTAATGTTCTCAATTGTTTTAATGCTTGAGATTAGTTTGAGCGAAAGAATTTCAAAGATGTGAAACTGCTATGTTAAACGTATATAGGATTTCTGAGCTTTCACTGATATCAGTAATTTATAATCAAAATATTTTCTTGTTTTTGTATGGGGAGCATCTTGATGGTTAGGATATATTAACTCTATCAACTGTTTCACTAGCTTTCACTGTGTTTGCTTGCCTTAAGTCTGTTGTTTCTTTACTTGAATTCTTGGCTGAAATGTTATGTTTATATATTTTTTGTGTGCAGGTTAGATCATTTTATAGCTGAGTATTGTAAATTCTACCTAGCTTACCTAGTACCTACACCCTCCAACGCTACTATTACAGGTAAAAACTCTGTAATAGTGAAAATTGGTCACTGGATTTTTAACCTCTTACATGCGTTGAATCATCTCCATGACTATCCGTTCATTATTTTTTTCAATGAACTCTTGTGTTTGGATTTGCTTAGAAATACATGTTGTATTGTAAGGATACTAGGCAACTATACTGGAATTTACTAGGAAGTATTTATATCTTGTGACATATAATTAGGTGCATTTGAAAATTTTGTTCTGTTGACTTATTGACTGAAGTGAACTTTCCTTTTTAGAGAAGAAGTTCACTTACCGAATTTGTCTATTAATATACAATAGTTAAACACAAGAAAGCAACAGAGTCATACTAGACTAGTAATTGAAGAATTTCAAAATATTCTGCCAATGGAAAGAATACATAAATATTTTAGTAACAGAAAGAATTTCTAATATGTTGGTTTTAGGAACAAGTATCATATTCAACTCTAGAGAGAATGTGACTAGATGTCTAGATGATTAGAAAACAGAAAGGCCAATAAAACATGATTATTGTCCATAGGTTCTGTTATTGAATCATTACAACATAAAGATTACACTTTGATCTCATGAATACTGTAACATATATAGATTTTCTTCTATTTTTGCAATTTATTTTAGTCCTTTATATGTATATCTCATACTCATATCTGATAGTATTGTAATTGTTGTCATTTTAAAGTAGTGTGTGCTTTTGTACGTGGACAAGAATGTGTTCAAGTCATTTGTGGTATCTAGCCCTTGGAAAAAATACACATAGTATGTTGCTATATTGGTGTTATAATTTGTATCATGTATTATATTATCTTCATTTTTCATCTTTTTATGCATATCTTGCTCAGTGCTGGTATATATGAACTATTTTGTCATCTTTTAGATGCTGCCACTTTTGCTTGGAAGTAGTAGCTTCATATTTCATACCAAATCTTATGTGAAACTTGATAATCTTGTGGCGGTAGTTGATAGCGAAGAGTGCATGGGCTGTGAGGCCAGCATCTTCCATGTTTCTCTGGATCAACTCGTCGTTCGATTCTTGAAAATGTATTTTTTGATTGTTTAAGATACCATGGTACACCGCATGTTTTAGGTTAATTTTTGATAGCGGAGGGGCAAATTTGACTGTTTTTCCCTGTTTGGATGAAGGGTTAGACACCATTTGTTTGGAATTATATTGAGAAGTGCTTAGAGATATAGTTCGATATTCTGGAAAAATTAGTAGCTAGGGGAAAACATGTTTAAGATACATAGAGTAGTATTATTATAAGCTAACGTTGAGAAAAAAATGATCAAGTTGAATTGGGAGAAATGAATAGATAACCCATCTGGTAATGTGAGAAAGAGTAAGATTTCCATTTAAGAAAAGTGATTCAAGTTACTTTCCAAAAAAAGGAATCTAATCAGGTTGAATTAGGAGAAATAAAGAGTAAGTTGAAAATTGAAAGTGTGAACGATTAACTAATTGATTGATTTTTTTATCCATTACATATTTCATAATACATAGTTTATGAGTTATACCTTTTCTCACGTTCTCATTAAATATATAAAATTTATTTGTGTATTTAGCTTTCTCGTCAAACCCATTATTTCTGGGATCTGTCATGACCCAAAACCTAACCCGTCATGATGACACCTATCATGATACTAGGCAAGCCGACCTTTCCAAAATCCTTTCAAAATTTAACAGAAATGAATTAAGACATTTAAAATAACTGGAGTTTTTCATAAAAATGGGGGTATAACCGAAATAAAATATAAGTGCAGAAACATAGCCAGACATCGGGGTGTCACTAAGTCATGAGCATCTAATAACCAATCTAGAAACAGAGTCTACTACATTATGTGCCAAATGCCAATACAAGATAGAAAAGATAATAAGAAAGGAGAAACAAGAACTGCGGACGCCGGCAACTACCTCGTAAGTCTCCGATAATCAGTCCGCGCACGAACATAGCGACAGCCAGAACCGTACACACCTGGATCTGCACATGAAGTGCAGGGTATAGTATGAGTACAACCAATTCAACAAATAACAGAATTAAATAAGGAACTGAGAAGCAGTAACGAACTATAGTAATACAAATCATTTCAAAAGTTTTCAGTAAAGAGTGAACATGCTTTCAAATCCGGTGGTATAAGTCAAATCAGTTCGAGCCCAAGTTAAACAGATATGAATCTTCCATAAATTTCACAACATCATATAGCAACTGAGTGCAATAATAAATAAAAGCAAGTACAGCCTCTCAAGGCAGCGATCCCTCAACTTATCTCATCAGTTCATACTCTAGGCTTTCAGTCCTCAATACACACTCTCAATAGGTACCTACGCTCACTGGGGGTGTACAGACTCCGGAGGGGCTCCTTCGAGCCCAAGCGCTATATCGTTGCGGAGTGCAGCCTGACCCAATCATATAAGTATCCATAAGGCTCGTTGCGGCGTACAACCCAATCCACAGTCTATAAATAGCCATAAGACTTGTTGCGGCGTGCAACTCGATCCATATATCCTCACATAGTTCACAGCTCGGCACTCAGGCCCTATCTCAGTCACTAACCGCTCCAGCCCCTCGGGCTCACAGAATATCATAATAATCGACCTAAACAAAGAATACAACTAGTATCAACAAGAAATGAGAGGGAACAGAGATATAACACACAAGTAAGACCGTGACTGAGTATAAGACATCAATTAGCAGTTAATTCCACAAGTATACGACCGTTGCGGGTCCCAACAGTGATATCATAAGGCCTAAGCATGGTTTCTAACATGAAAGGCAGTCAATTGCTCAAAGGCAAGGAAAAACAAGTGATAACAATGGCTATTTGACTTTACAGTCTCACGGGACGGATCAAGTCACAATCCCTCACGGTGTACGCTCACACGCCCGTCACCTAGCATGTGCGCCACCTCCAAATCTTCACATTATACCAATTCTCGGGTTTCATACCCTCAAAACCAGATTTAAAACTGTTACTTACACTAAACAACGCAAAATCCTACTCCACAATGTCGTTTCCCCTCGAATCAATCTACAAACGCTCTGAATCTAGCCACAAGCAGTACGATATAATTAATATAGGCTAAAAGAATCAATTCCACAAGAAAAATACGAAATTATAAGCCAAAATCCAAAATAGGTTTAAACCCGGCCCATGTCTCGAAATCCGATAAAAGTCACAAAACCTGAAAGCCCATTCACTCATGAGTCTAAACATACTAAATTCATCAAAATCCGACATCATTTGGTCCTCCAAATCCCCAAAATCCACTCTCCAATTCTCAAGCCCTAAACCCCCAAATTTCACTTCAAAATCTCGCTAATTAGGTGGGAAAATCAGTAGAAAATCAAGATTTATGATAAAAAATAAGTACAAGAAGCTTACCTCAATAATCCCCTCGAAAATCTTCGCCAAAATCGCCTCAGTCCGAGTCTCAAATGGTGAAATAAAACTAAAATCGCGAACCCTTGCTTTTAAACCTTCTGGCCAGAGTTTTCTCATCTGCGGACCCACTGTCGCATCCGCGATGACGCACCTGCGGAAAATCCATCGCATGTGCGGATTCCACTTAAAATCCCAGATTCCGCTCCTGCGGCTACAAGACCGCATCTTCGCCTATCGCAGGTGCGGGAATCCATCGCACCTACGGCCATCCTTCGCACTTACGCCCAGCTGCCCGCATCTGTGACCCTCGCAGGTGCGGGAAAATCTTCGCACCCGCGGCTCCTACCCAGCTCCTTCTTGGCTGCATCTGAGCCTTCTTCGCTTCTGCGGACTCGCACCTACGGTTCCTACTCCGCAGGTGCGGTTACACCAGTAGCAGCTGCTTCAGCTGCATTTCCTTAACTCCCATCAAGCCGTTAACCACCCGAAATCACCCCGAGGCCTCCGGGACCTGAACCGATCATACCAACAAGTCATATAACCCTATGCAAATTTAGTCGAATCTTCGAATCACTCAAGACAACATCAAAACACCAATTACACCCGGATTCAAGCCTAAAGAACTTCTAAATTTCCAAATTCTACAAACGACGCCAAAACTTACCAAACCACGTCCGATTGACCTCAAATTTTGCAAACAAGTCATATTCAACATTACGGACCTATTCCAACTTCCGAATCGGAATCCGACCCCGATATCAAAAAGTCAACCCCCCGGTCAAACTTCTCAAAAATTCGACTTTCGCCATTTCAAGCCTAAATTAGCTACATACCTCAAATTCACAGTCCGGACACGCTCCTAAGTCCAAAATTACCCAACGGAGCTAACGGAACCTACAGAACTCCATTCCGGAGTCGTCTTCATGCAATTCCGACTACGATCAAAATTCTGAGACTTAAGCTTTCATATTAGGGACTAAGTGTCCCAAAATACTCCGAAACCAAAACAAGACCTCCCGGTAAGTCACATAAGCAGAAACAACAACAACAACAACAACCCAGTATAATCCCACTAGTGGGGTCTGGGGAGGGTAGTGTGTAAGCAGACCTTACCCCTACCATGAGATAGAGAGGCTGTTTCCAATAGACCCTCGGCATCCTTCCCTCCAAGAACTCCCCACCTTGATCTTGGGGTGACTCGAACTCACAACCTCTTGGTTGGAAGTGAGCAGAAACAGATATGGGGAAAATAGTAAAATAGGGGATCGGGACTAATATACTCAAAACGACCGGCCGGGTCGTTACATCCTCCCCCTCTTAAAATAATCGTTCGTCCTCGAACGAGCATAGAGATATACCTTAAGTGGTGAAAAGATGAGGATAACGACTGCACATATCATGCTCAGTCTCCCAAGTCGCCTGCTCGACTGGCTGGTCCCTCCACTGAACCTTCGCAGAAGCATAATTCTTTGACCTCAGCTTTCGAACATGCCTATCCAAGATCGACATCGGCTCCTCAACATAAGATAAATCCTTGTCCAACTGGACTGAGCTGAAATCCAGCACCTGAGACGGATCGCCGTGATATTTTCGGAGCATAAAAACATGGAATAC